TGTTAATATATATATATATATATATATGCTTAAAATATACTTTGTTAAAAATCTTCTAGCCAAAACTCATAGAAAACAAAAATAAAAAGGAAAAAAAAGCTCATATTTATTCATAGAATCAGCTAACTAGGAAAGCGATAACTAGAAAAAGGCCAGCCATATCCAAATATACCTAGTTAAAAACCTTTTAGCCAAAACTCATAGAAAACAAAAAATAAAAAGGAAAAAAGCTCATATTTATACATAGAATCGGCTAACTATGAAAGCTAGAAAGGCCAGCCATATCCAAACCAACCAGTTGCAAACAGAAATCAAGGACCATGAACAACTGCTCTAATGAATCTCCGAGAACACCATGAGCAGCTAAATATGCAAAGCCCATAATGAGATTAGTGTTCAAAATAGTTAAGAGTCGAAACTCATTTAAACTTTTGGGACACCAATTCAAACCACTGTAAACACTCCCTTAAGTTCCTCTTCAAAAGCAATTAGAATATCAAAATTGGCTTTCGAGAACAACTTTTACAAAAAATCTCGATAAACTTGATAGATTTAACCACAGCCTATACCAAGCTTCTTGGGGCACCATTTTGCCGCTTCATCAGTGTAAACTTTAATCCATTACTTGGGATAAGCTAATTGCCGGCTGTAATTGACACAAAAATTTGTGTAGAGAAAAAATTTTTGTCCTGGCATATCTTCCCATTACGCACTTTCCAAAGTTACAAAGCATAAAGATAATAGCCGTAACCATAATATTTGGAAATTTGTGGACTCAGTGTGATAGTTTGTAGAGTAAAATATATCCTTGGTGTTTCCTATTTTTTCATCTAATCATGTGTTTACTTGAAAAATGAGAAGTGATAGTTTGGCAGATCAGACACATTTTAGGTAATGAGAGAAGAGCATATCAATTCTAACACTTTTCTTAGTTTGTTTTCCGATGTAAATTAGTGTCGTATTTACTTACATATCTTATCAAGCGAGTGATCATTATTTAATAGTGCAGAAGGAAATTTAGTAATTAAATTGATAGAATTTATATTTTTAAATTGAGTAAGCATGGTATATATGTGTGTGTGTGTGTGTGTGTGTGTGTATAGGAAATTATATCGTTTCTAATTCTAATTCCACATCTCTTAATTCTCATGCTTGTTCTTTTACGTTTTTCCAAATTCTATTATTATTATCTTTTTAATTATTACACCTCATTTCATTATGGTCTGGTAAACACACACACACACACACATATATATAGCTAATCTCATTTATGTTTACACATAGCATACACCATAGGGTAAGGAAAACTAGTTAGTCCTTGCTTGCTAGTTTTTTCATGCTCTCTGTTTTTTGGTTAAAAGAAAAAAAAATACCACCCTTTTTTTAAGAAAGCACGATAATTTAGCAACTTTTGAATAGTTTTATCGTCATAAATGAAAACATAAAGCAGCAAAATAAGATTACTTTAAACGCCTGTTAGTGTTACAATAAGAATTCGTCTAATAGACAATCGTATGCATAATTATATACATATACCAATGTTCTGAAAAAAAAAGGTAAAGAAAAACCAATAAAGAGGTTGCTCCGTTTTTCCTCCTTTTTTTGTTGTTGTTTTTCATGTATTTTAAATGCGGCGTAATTCTCAAATGACGTTTTTGTGTACTCTGTAAACTGTAGACTTGTACTCTTGTTATCTCTGGTAGTGGTTATCCCCTCTTCTGAAAATTAATCCAATGGTTCACATTATCCAATTATTTTTAACTTGAAATGCAATGGTCAAGATTTATTCACATGGCTAATGCATTCTCTCACACCTCATATTACACCTCACACTTTAACTTTGTTTATTTCATTTCATTTCATTTCATTTCATTTTCTTTTTTTATTAACTTGTTTGTTTAGCTTTTGGAATTTTAATATTATTATTTGACTTGTTATATTAATACTATGAGTAATATGTTATGTTAACATATTAAAATTATATTTGTGAATGGATTTTTATTTATTAGTAATAATATATGTCAATACTTATAGGATTTTAAGAGTAATATATTATGGTAGTATATGAAACGTACATTTTTTAATTGATTTTTATTCATTGGTAATGATATGTTAAGACTAATTGGAGTTTAATATTCATTTTTAAACCTAAACCCATAATTTAAAGGTTTAATATAAATAGTAATATCAATTATTACTATTCTCTCTATTTTTATTATTACTATTCTCTCAAGCTAGTAATTATATATAATGCAGTACGTATTATGCTTCGATCGGCCTTTGTTAATTGAAACCATCGATTTCAGAATAGCGAAAGAGATAATCTTCGGAAGATTGTTTATCTACACGCTGTTACTAGGAAAAATTAACACTATATATGTATATAGCTGGCCATACATCTTTTGCCTCTAGAGGTGGAAAGTAGACTAGATATATACTTTTTTTTTTAATTTAAGCGATTTTTTGCCATTAGCCATCTTTAGATTTAACTAATGCTAGTTTTTTTTTTTTTTTTTTTTTTTTTTTTTTTTTTTTTTTTTTTTTGACACCTTTTACTGACCACTTATCCTTTTTTTCTTTACAAATATTTGAAATTAAAATACCGAATCTGTTTTCCTCATTAAACTTAATAGATGTGAGATCCTTTTGTAAGGAATGGAAATTTTCTGCTAAGTAATTAAGAAGGCCGCCCTTAAAAAGGTACAAAGTTATTTTATTGATTCTTGAAGTTCTTGATCTTTACATGTACGTATACGAAATGTTTTAGACTTGTGATCGGATATTTAAGGGTACATTAGTTATCTAATGATCATCACGATTATTCATACAATGAAATTAATGTCGTATCATTAACTTGGCCTTAATTAAATTAGAAGGTTCTGATGATTAATGCAAGTATAATTGCGCAATTATACTTGACTTTGAGGAACGCAAGATCAAGAAATGGGAACCAAAAATCCTAAGGGGTCTTAAGGTCAAAGTAATTAGAGGAAAGATACATGACTATATGCTCATCTAAATTTAAAAATTACATTTCCGCGTTTGCATTTTCTCAATATCATTGCAATTATGCAATAAATATATAGTCGATCGTCTCGCCGGTTTTTTTGTTTTGTTTTTTTTTCCTTTTTTGGGCTGATCAGAATAATATTATATTTCGTAGTTTCATATGTCCATATTGATAAAATATATTAGACCTAAATGGACCCCAGCTCAAATGCATGACTAGGAATTGATTAAAGGGATATATATAATTACTAATTAGCTTAAAAAGTTTAGATACCAAAAACAAGAGCATCACCCTTGAATGCATATTTTTATTGTGTGACAATTTTCTTTCCATCATGGTATCATTCAAGATAAGGTAAGGTAACGAATTCTTTAAGTATAGATAAAGTATTATATTCATGCACAAGCACATAAAATTACATAGGAATATTAATTATAATTAGCGAACCTAAAACTCTAATTATACCAACTCTCTGCTGGTACTCCAGACAAAACTACATATCCACCAATTATATTATAATAATATCACTTCCGCAACATGAGAACCTACCTGCATGGGTTCTTGTAATTGTTTGCAGCCATATTAAAGCATTACATAGTATCAAGTCCAGTGTCATGAGTTTACTAACTCAGGCAAGAAAATAATGTAGTAAAAATTTGAGTTATGATTCGAACTAGTGAAATGAACGGAGTAGTAATTGTTTGCAGCAATATTTAATCATCACCTATATAGTATCAAGTTTGGCGTCATGAGTTTACTAAGCTAGACAAGAAAATAACTATGACATCATAGAGAGAGAAAAAAGGTAAGAGAATTTTAAGGCCTAGTTCACTCTCACTTGCATATAAGATCTTTGCAGTGAATGATATATATAAGAAACAAGAAAATAGCTTCTGTCCATCATCATCAAATTGTGTCAAATTGTGCATCTATAAATAAATATATATATGAACTTTGTAGAGAAGAAGAATCTGGACCTTATAACAGAAACATATATATATATATATATATATAAATTTGTATATATATATAAATATATAAAGGATGTATGCCATTCAAGACTCGTTGCATATGTGTCTCTGCTGTAGAACTTCTTTTTTCTTTTTCTTTCTTATCAAGCTCTTTCATAATCACATCTTGTGGAATGTGATGTACAATGGAGTTTATATATAGATCGTATCGATCAATACCTGGTTACTGAAAGGACTTAACAATCTTTGCGGTGCTCTTGCTGCACCAACATCATCATATGAAATTCATCCCTGCGAACAACTTAAACTTGAATCTTCGAATCTATATCAAACTTTCTGTAGAAGCTTTCCTAGAAGATATCAAATTTAAACCTATGTTATATGATTATTCATGTTTGATATAGTACTCCATCCTCCCAAGTCCCAACCCTGCTGACCAGAGAAAAGATACTTTGTGTAACTGACATAAATACTAAGTAGGAAAGTGGCGTGGCATGCAACGACATTACTAAAATTAGTACAATCATAAATAATTAGTTCTCCGAAAAAGGTACTTAAAATCAACCCATTAATTTTCTTTTTATATTACATATATAGGTCTTTCAATTTTTAACTGGATGTGTTATATATGGACAATCTGATATCTATCAAAGACGTCATTGCCCTAAAAATAGTTGTTTCACTATGATCAGAAATATTGTTGTTATCATCATTAAGAATATATAAATACCGATACTAAATAAGGAAAATAGATCGGAATATTATAATGATATTGACAACAAGACAGCTCAAAACTCAAGCGGGGGAGAGTTCGAGAAAATAATACAAATACTTCTGAGTTCAGTGAACTGCTAACCGTTTACAGAAAATTAATCCGAGCTTGCAAGAGAATTTGACTCTTTTTTTTTTTTTTTCAGAAATTAAGAGTACTGCAAAAGACATTCGCCGTGCCGATGAGGAAATTTGGACTGGGATTTTGCTCTTGACGAACAATGTTTGAGGTGGTGACGAAAACCGGTCTAGGGTTCCTCGGCAGCGTAATTATGGCTGATAGTACTCGTAGCCATGAAAACGGAGCTAGGGTTTTCTTCAACAATATGCGTGTATGATGACGATGTCACAAAAATAGAACTAGGGTTCTCTCTTTGGGCATTTGAAGTGGCGATAACCGGGAAAAACGAGCTAGTAGGCTTCTTCTCTTCGGTGTCGAATGATAAGGTTGTCGTGAAAATGGCACAAGGATTCTGAGTTCGCACGTTTCCGATGACTACAGGCTTTGTGTTTGCCACTGTGATACCGCAAAAAGACTCAGTTTTTGAGGATTCATCGATGATATTAATGTCCCAGTTGCCCGGAAAGCCCAGAAAATCATCCTCGGAATTTGCCCCACTTGAGATTCCTCCAATATGGTTTGATATTGAGTAATCTAGCATCTGATCAGATCCGGGAAATTCTTGATCAAACCTTGAAGCCCCCATTTTCAGAGAAGAATTGTTTGGCCTTAACTTTCCCAAATCGACACTAGTATTGGTAGTGTTGTTATTAGCAGCTTCTGGACTTGAACTAGTAGTGGGAGTAGTACTTAGTCTCGATTTTTCAAGATTTTTCTCTCTTGTCCTCTCCCTCGCCCTTGCTCTCGCCTTATCCCTCGATTCCCTTGCAATCACTTTGTGTGATTTTCTGATCTTTTTCTCTTTACGCATCCGAATCAAGGACTCATCATGATCATGATCATCACCGGAATCTTCCTTCTCCGCGGTTTTCGACACGACTACACCCTCCGAAGTAGAAGAACATCTTTGCTTGGCCTTGAGCTCTTTGATCGCGGTCTTCGACTTCGTGATCAGCCACTCGATAGTTTTGCTCGCCTTATCAAAGCCCAGCATGTCTTGAAGATCGAAGAATTTTCGAGCAATTTGAAGCGAAAGCCTCATTCTCCGGTCTCTGAGGCCTTGAGCCGTGGAGATCTTGCTGTGCCTGTCCTTCTTCCCGATCCTCCTCCGCGGAATACTAATTATGGCCTGCACTTTTGCTCTTTGCTTCTTGGTAAACCCTAATTTTGAAGGGTTTTCATGAGTACTGGGACTGTGATGATGATCAAGTACTGCTTGATTTGAAGCCACAACGCTGATCTCGTCGGTGTGAGCTTGCGAACTGTGAGAAGTACTATTGCCGGCGAAGATCAGTTGCTCTTGGGACAACAAGTGACTCAAGAGCATTCCATCGTCTTCGAAGATCGTCGGTAAGTTCGAATATGCCAACCGGGAATATTGCTGAACCTGGTTTGAGGAATTCGGGTTTTCATCATGGTAAATATTCTCAGAAGTGTTCTCTGGGAAATGTTGGTAAATGCCGCTCAAAGGAAACATACTTGTCTAGTGGTCAATAAATGCTATTTTTTCAGAATTTTTGAAGAGAAAACGCTCACTGTTTTTCTATGATCTGCAAGGTGGGATTCAAACTGGCAGTATACTGCTTCAGGAAGACAAAGAACAGTAATAGAAATTACACCCAAAAAAAAAAATCAGAAAAAGGAAATCAAAGAGAATTCATGGTATGGTTTAATCTGGGTATGTATGAAAATCTGTTTAAGCAACTCAAAACCACCTATATGGATTAAAAAGACATGACTCGAGTACAATATCCTTAATTATTCTGATGAGAGAATATGACTGTAGCACGCCCACCTGAGATAATTTGGTATTTTGTGAGTGAGTTTTTTACAGTCTTGGAGCTAGCTCTGCTGTTTTTATTATCCTGTTAATAATCTTTTTTGAGTATGAAAAGTGAAACCCTAAATTATTAGGAACACCTAAACTAGCTAAAATGCTTGCCTTTGAGTGAACAGAGAGAGAGAGAGAGAGAGAGAGAGAGAAGTAATAGAGCCCTAGCTATGTATGAAATATAGGCTCTGGTATAGTACTATTTAGTAGTACTACTATAAGTTAAATAAGCATATTAAAACAGGTACAGTGAAGCATCACGTGGGTTGAGTTCGGTTGTGGCAGATTGGTTAGCATTAGCAACACATCATGCTGTCCGTTTAGTATAGATGATCAGTCAGCATCACTAAGAAACAAGATATATATATAAGAATTTGAGGGCAGAATTTAACTCTCCATCTCTATACAGCTAGAGAGAGAGAGAGAGGCCGAAAAGAAGGACAATTATGTGATGAATGGAACAGAGGCCTTGTTGTACACATATATATACATTGACAAATACACACACACACATATATATTAAGCGTCTAACACCATGAAAGGGAACGCTCGTTTTGACTGGCCATGACCAAACATCGCTTTCAACTTCCTCTGACTGTTTCGTCTTTGATAATTCATCATCCATCTATCTCTCTATCTCTACGCTTTGAAGTTTGGAAGTCCTTTTTTTATCTTTCCACTAAAACAGGAAAAACAAATAGCTAGGTTACTACTGATAATAATAAATTAATCAGGGCCAAAGCTGGCTCTTTTATTCCTTCTATTTATTTATTATATTTTTTGGGTTCAATGCATTTTGCGGGTCTTATCCTCTTCACCTTTTTCCTTCCCAAAGTTAACCTGCAAAGTTGAAATGGTTTTACCATGCGTGATTCCTTTTCCAGTTACTTGCAACTTTCTTTGGTGCATATAATGTAATGTCCAACAGTTCAAGCTTCTCTAACAATAGGTAACTTTTGATGAAAAGAACTTAATTATATAGGGTCCCTAATAATAATAACTTTTGTTCTTAATGTAAGTTCTTTTGTTGTAGTCATAGCAAAAAAACAAAAAACAAAAAAAAGTTCTTTTGTTACCGAAGCTTAAACATTGAGTTCTTTTCTTCTTTGTTAAGCTTCTATAACAAATTAGAGCTTAACTAATAGGTTTCTAGCATAAAACAAAAACAAAAGGAATTAATTATTAATAGTTTTAATCTAGCATGAAAGAAACTTTTATATATTGAAATGAGAGAGCCACAGGGTAAGTATAAATCAACTTATAGAAATTGGCGGTTTGCAAAAGTCCTAAAGTTGATGTAGAATGTACGAGTGATCTAGCTCTTTGAGTACCTTTCACTTGTGGTTTCTCATGAGTCCAAGTTGCCCAAACTACCTCCACATACGTTATGAGAACTTTAGATGGCATGGTTGTGATGATGATCGGAAGATTCATTGGGTCAAATTAGAGAACTTATGTGCGACAAAGCATAAGAGAGGTACGTTTGGAGTTCGGGGATATAATGGGTTTTAATAAGGTTTTTCTTGCCAAACAAAGTAGCAATTTTGACCAATCCTAGTTTCCTAGTGGTTCGTGTGCTTAAAGTTAAATACTTTTGGCATTCCATTAGCTTTCTTGAAAACCCGATTAATGGCCGTAACCCTTCTTATGATTGGTTTATAAAAAGGTTGCTTGACCTCATGTTCAGGCTTTTAGAGGTGGGTGCTTGAATGACCTGATGCCATCAACGTCATTCGATCAATTCAAGGTTCTACCTTGCGAGCTCCTGAGGTTACTGATGACATTTATAAGGATTTTATCTGTCAAGTTAAAAGTGGCATGGTTTGCTACACCTCTCATAAGGGGAATGGTGTTGCTACTTTTTGGCTGGTTTAGCATTTTTTTCATCCTTTAGATTTGGTTTGCTTAGGTTTTCTTCCTCTTTCATTGGGACTTTATGTGAGAATAATTGTTATTGCCAATTTTGAATGAAGTTCGTTCTTTCTTTAAAAAAAGAAAAAAGAAAAGAAAAAACTATATTGTTTGTTTCTGATTTTTACTTTTCAAATAATGATTTTTGTCACTTGGAATTAGAAATTTTTTTAATTGAATAAAAAAAATTAGCTTAAGGTTAAGGGCATTTTTGTCAAAATACAATTGAACTCCATTCCATACTGTAGTTAATTTCCATAAGGGGTCCACAACACCACCCAAACAAATCAAAGAATCAATTTTTATTTCCCGCACATTCCCGTTCATTTCGCCGATTCGAGTTTAGAATTCGAGTTTTGCTACAGTAAAAAGCTCTCAGAAACAGTCACATCTAACTTTTTTGCTACAGTAAAAAGCTCTCACACAAAATCACATCTCAACTCGAATTATAAACTCGAATCAGCGAAGTGAACGGGCCCTAAGGGCGTTTAGTTCCGTGAAAACATAATACAGAATTAGAATGGTGATAGGAATTTATTCCAATCTTTTTGAAGCTCAGGACAAAAGATCCTTTGATTTTCATAGCTCAAACCAAGATATAGTTTGAGGTGACCATCCTCTCTCATGATTGGATCAAGCAATTTTTTAATAACACGCAACTTTTTTGGGGACCAAAGAGACCAGCCTAACAGTATTACAGATATGAATTATAGTCATAAAATTTATTGAATTTTCGTTGATTTCTTAAAATGGATTGGTCCTAACATTGACAAATTAATTAAGTACTGGTGTTTAATGCATTGCGTGAGGATACTCTTTTTTCTTTAGCATACTTTTTGAGCAGTATTATTTGGCGTCATTGATCACACCACTCGTGCCTTATATTGTCACTTTTGAATAAAGAAATATAAAATGTTATTCACTAACCTGATTGGTAATGTCGCTATCTATGTTCAACGTTTAAGCTTTATGATGAAGTTGTGGTATGTACTGACGGCAACTTGTGCAAACTTTATGTTCAAAGTTTATGTATGTACATATAATTGAAGATGCAGGCTAAGCCACGAGGACACTGACTAAATTGACATCCACTATCCAAATTAGCTCAAATGTTTAAACTTGTATTATGTAATTCTTGAAATCTGTAATGTACTCAATGACGTCGTAGATTGGGATCGTTGTGCTTTTAATAAAAAATACTACTTTTACTTAAAGTAAAAATATAACAAAAATAAGTCAAATTCAAAAGGTATGATTTTCAATTTCTTCAAATAATTTAAAAAGTGTTGCTTTTATAAATCTTTATCAAACATCATAGTTATATCATTGTTGGGGCTCTTTTGGTGAGGGCTTGTCGACGTGAAAGGTAGGGGACGCGTGGCCCCTTTTTGGTTTGTGAGGACTGTGCTCTCGTTGATTGACATGGTCAGAGAGTTGCCGTGGGTACTTCTTGGTGTCGACGGTGGCCGAGGGGATGAGATTGGCCCCGGCTGGGGTAGGCAAAACCCAGATGACCCCGAGGATGACGGTATCCGAGGGCGACACCCGTTGCGGCTTCGGCTCAGCGAGGGTGAAGAATCTCTGATGGGGATCTCCCTGTGAGCATATAGTGTGGGAGAGGGATGTGACCGATTTATGGAGGAGGTTTCTAAGTGGGTAACGGGGTTATATTTCTCTGTTTGTGAACAAAATGATTTCGACGGATGTAGTGCGTGAAGGTAGCAAACAGTCAATCTCGAGGTGTTGGGCTATGGTTAAGGGCTTTTGATGTTTCGGGAGCTTTTGTTACCACTTCCAATGGGGAGAACACCTAGAAACTTGTTCTAGAGGGACTCCGCCGGAAGTTATGGAGAATATGATTCTCCGTCAGTCACTCTGATGGAAACCAGAAATCCATAGGGATTAGAACAGAGTAATTTGATCTGCCCTTCTTCCTCATTTCCCTTGTCTTGTCTCCTATTGAGAGGTTTAGACAACAGTATTTATAGACCAGGATCGTGGTAAAGGGGAGGAAAGTTTTCCCGCCAGCCGTTTTGAACTTTGGCTGAAATCCCCCCCAAAGGTCCCCGTCAGTAAGACATTTCTAATGGGATTCAGGGGCAACTTTCGTTGATCCTAGAGGAAGGTTTACCCCAGAGATGAATAAGCAGGTCATTAGGCAGCCAAATGGGGTTCCGTGGCCATTTTGGGTGAGGTCAGAGGGTGGCAGCCAAATGGTCAAGAGCTTGCCCTATCTTATTTGTGTATATCCTGACTCCTTATTATTCTTTGGGGGAGAGACTGCATTTGCCTCCTGGGAAAGAAAGCAAAGACGTGGAAAAATGCCACTTTGTCTCTTATTGCAAGGTAATAGACCAATAGGCTTTTCTACTGCAAGTTTAGGTAATTTGTTTTACTCTGTCTAATTTCCTCCATAACCCACGTTATCCTAATTCCCTCATAGACCCAAGACCACCCCAAGTGGGCCAAGGCTCTAATTGGGCCGGATAAAATGGGCCCGGTCACATTCCTTAGCCTGCCAAACCATGGCCCACATAGAAGTCCCCGAAACGTGGCTTGGGTCCACGTACTATATCTGGAGTTATATTTATTAGATCTGGGCCGGGCCGACACCTTGTAAAATTTTGGGTATCAACATTAGCCCCCTTGATTGTATGGGCCATGCAACATAGAGAGATAGTGTCACGCCCCCCAACCAGGGTGGGTGACGTGGAGCTCGATTAGGGATTAATAAA